TGGTTCGACACCATCGCTGGGCTCATACATGTAAATGACGTGAAAATGGAAACGTAACTTTGTAACCAAGTAAATGTCAGAGAGGCAGAGAGTGATCTCATCATTTCCTCAGAGATTATCAAGTATTCGGATAATGTGAAAGAGTGCACTGTTGTCCAATGTTTTGATGCTAAAGTCCACCCTCCTCCTCATGTGGGGTTTAGCAGGTTTTGGTTCTTCCTCACACACAGAATCTATGCTAAACCTGTCATAGTCCCTTTGGTAGGTCTATGATTGGTCTTTCTATTAGTTCTATATTTCCTTCTGGGATTGAGAAGCTTTTGAGGTTCACGTTTCTTTCTTTTCCCTTCCTTCACTCTTGTCTTTGGTTCTCCTGTTTAATTGTGTCCCGTTAATCGTCTTCAGTCGCGTCTCTCTCGTTTGATTTTGGTAAGTGTGCTCTGTGTCTTACGCCGACTCTTACTTTCCCATCTCGTTTGGTTAGTTGTCTGCAGCTGTGTTTCCCACCTGCTCCCACTTCCCTCATTACCTTTTGTTTGAATTGTCTCAGTGTCCCCTTGTGCTTTGTAGAGACATTCACATATAGCTACATGCTGCAGATCGTGTATAATCTCTTGTTTTCTCATCTTGGTGTTATTCATGTGTCCTGCGTTTGGATCCCCAACTTACTGCAACAATCACACAGCCTTAAATATGACAAGAAAGGGGGTTTCCCTGTGCACAGGAAATGTGTACCTGAGAGAATATATAGATAAGATAAGAAGGGTTTCCTGATCAAGTGTTGCGAGTGACCCTTGGAAAACCTGCACAGCTGCACTGGAGGTCCTTACATGCTTTATGTTTTTGTTATGAATCAGCATTAATATACAGAGAGCAGACAAGGAGGGTAGAAATAACTTATAACTGGTCACTGAAAAAAGTGCATTCTTAGTGGGTCCACTTTGCAAATATGACGGCTGATTCTTAGAACGACTCTCTCGATGTCTCCGCTTTGATCTGAAAGCGAACGAGCCTCGCTCAGGAAGCTCTCAGAGCAGCCTGCCTGATGAAACGCTCTGGTGTTGCTCTTCTATCGTGCAGTCAGCCTGAAGAAAGCAGCTCAGCTTGTGCAGAATGAAACTTTTTACTGGGTTACCCTAAGGTAAGCGGTGCCCATAAAGGGACAAATAAAAGCAGAGCAACAAAACAAAAAGCTGATGTAAGAAAATTCACCCTTATCACAAAACACTGGCTGCTGTCGGGCAGAGTTTTTGATTTTCTTCCAGACCTTCTTGCTCTGTTTCACTGTATTGATGGCTGCTCCCTTGGGGTTAAGCTCAGTTCAATATTGTAAAAGATCTACTTATCAATAATTCACAAATACTGACTGGCCGCTTCACATGGATTGCTGCCTCCCTCCGTCTCTGCTTCGCTTCATCGCCTCGCTTCTTCCCAGCATTGCCACGAGCCTCTGTCGTTCTTTCCTTTTATTTTCTCGCCTCGTCTCTTTCTTTCATCTCGTTTCTTCATTTTGCACTTGTTCACTTGTGAGATTCTCTGTATACCTCCTCTTGCTCACTCTTTATCTAAACATGTACTTCTGAGCAGGGGAGACTTCAAAAACCAGAGCCCTTTGTCAGCTGCACAATCTACACTCTTTAAGCTTTTCCTGCAACAACACTGTCAATTTCAGACCAAAAATACACAACAAATGCATAGAAACGTGTATCTGTGCTGCTCTGATGCTGACTAAGTGCCTGCAGCCTCTTTGTTAATAAAAACATCCTGAAACCACAGCTGTTAGTTCCCTTTGAAAGCTAATGGGCATTAGTGTCCACCCTGAGGCGAGAACAACAGTGGTTTCTAACATGAAAATGAAAACGATGTGAAACACATGGTGGGATAATCCAAGCTTGAGCTTAGGTTGCTAGCATGAGCTGATAAGCAGAAATCATGATGGGCACCTTCAGTAACTTGCACATGTTGCTCATGTTTTTCTAATTACTTTTTTAAAAACAGCTAAAACATGCACGTGTTATGGCTCGAAGCTAAAGCTGCAATAAAATGATATTTTATTTTGATCAAACTTTGAGGCTACCTCAATAGAGATTTTTTTTGTTTTAAGCGTAGCTCAGTGCTTTGATTTTTCAGACACAATCTATTATTAATCTGACTCCCAGCTGTAGCAGAAGGCTATCGCTCTGTTATTAGAATTACTGCATCTCAGTTTCATGAATTTAGTCCAGTTGGTTTAAGATCCATGTCTGTCCAGACTTTACTTTTGGATGTAAAATGGTGTTATGTGTCATTTTGTCCTATTAGATGCGTTAAATTTGGTCACTTTGTGACTTCTAGAGTTATGAGAAGAGAAACACATCTCATGCTTTATCCAGAGACTGTACACAAAAGATGGACATACCAGGTTTGTGAATATTTTGAAGCTTCAAAGTTTCATTTCAATCATCTTACTCCTTTTAGAAAGTAAATAGAAATAGAAAGGCAGCTCATCAGGTAAAGCTTGCTAACTTCACAGCATATTATATCAATAGTGCATGAGTGCAATTAATATATTAGTATTAAGTAAATTCAAAATCAGCAGCAAAATCACAACAACAGTTGTCTCAGGGCACTTTATATCGTACAAAGAAAACAGAGGAACCCCAACAATCAGATGACCCCCTATAAGCAAGTGATCTGGTGACAGCAGGAAGGAAAAACTCCCTTTTAACAGGAAGAAATCTCCAGCAGAACCAGGCTCAGGGAGGGGCGGGGCCATCTGCTGTGGTTGATTGGGGCGAGTAAAGCCTGAAAAGTAGAATTTTACTCATCAAAACTGAAGCTCAAACTACTTGGACACATTGAAACATCCAGTTATGAGCTTCTGATTAGCTGTGGGCTACAGCTGCCTACCTGACCACATCAGCCACAGCTCTAACTTTAAGTCTTAGAAAGATTCAAACTGGATGTGAGTTTAAATATATCCCTCATTCAGGTATCATAAAGAGGAAATTTAACCATAAAGGCTGAAACGGTTTAGAAAACAGGATGATGTGACCGAGGCCACCAGAAGAACTGTTTAAAACTCGGTGCTTGGTGTTTTCTGACAATGACTACTGATCCAGTGTAATTACATAAACATTACTTATTGTTTTTCAGTGTAAAATCTCCATAAGAAAGGACAATAGAATAATTTCTCTATTTGGAGCAAATAAGGAGAAGGAAGTTACTTTTCAAGGATAACTGGAAAGCTCTTTTCTCTTCTGCACATGAAACGTATAACTTTATGCAATTTAACTTTGTGGGACTGAGAATTATTATAGTTGCAAATATATTATCGACTCTTAATGAGGCCATTACTGGTGCAAACCCATATCCAGTTCATCACTGGTAAACAAATGAGTGCATTACTGCTAATGGAAAGAGGATCAGAAGATGTAACAGTTATTGTTACACTAACTTTTAACAACAACATCTCATTGGCGACAAAGATCCGCCTTTACCGAACCCTGATCCTGCCCATTCTACTTTACGGCGCAGAGACGTGGACAATGCTCAAACACGACCTGAGCAAGCTCGACGTTTTCCAAATGCCTTAGATGCGTTCTCGGCGTTTCCCTTCGCGACCGTCATTCGAATGACACCATCCTCACCAGCTGCGGCAGCCAACCGACGATCGGCGACCTAATCCAGCGCCGCCGACTCCGTTGGTTTGGCCACATTTGTCGAATGGACCCGATGGCCTACTCTGGTTGACCCGCCCCACCGATTGGAGGGTGCATCGAAATGCACCAAAGAAGACATGGATGAAACAAATCCAGGATGATTTGAAGGCCCTTCGACTTGACCTCGAGCAGGCAAGAACCATCGCCTTAGATCGAAAAGCGTGGAAGATAATCGTTGGTCAAGCAAGAGAACCTGCGGCACCTACAGCAGCGTACTGGTTGCGCGGCAGACCACCGCCGCTGATCGCCCACTAAGGACAAGAAGAACTTTTAACTCTTTTTTCAGTGAGATGGAAAATCTGGCCTGAAAAACGTGATCAGCTGGTGAAGTGAACGTTTAAGGTTTCGCCCTCGCCGTCTCTTCTGAAGTTTTTATATTTCCTAACATTTCTCGGGACCTTATTTGACTTCCCCACCATACTTTTTATGAAGAAATCCAACTTCTCTTTTGAACCCTCCCCCCACGGGGTTGTGCCTAATGGGTTTCATCTCTTTGACTTCTGACTTAAGTTGGGAGTGAGAGTTCTGAATCTGGCCGATGCTAATTAGGGGCTGATTCCCCTGCCAGAGCGCCTGGTAGTAAAACTACAGATAGTCAGGAAACTGGATGGTGAGGTGGTACTGTGTCTCTCAGAAGACTGGATGAGAATCGAGGAGAGGACGGGTCTGAATGATGGATAAATACGCCCCACCTTCAGTCTGATGTTTGGGATGAAAACAGTCCACGTACACACAGACGAAGCTTACAAACGCGCACACAGACCAGATGCCGAGGGCGTGAATGCGGTAGCGTCTTCTTTTTACTAATTATCCAGCTCCTTCTACTTATCTGTCACATTTTAAGACAACATTAAAAGTGTGAAGATAAAAATAAAAGAGGCTTGTTAAAAGTCAGAAATTGTGGACGTGTGAAAGCTCATTATGCAACGGAAGTAGATGTGCTTTTAAAATCGCACAGAATAGAGGAAAAATGATCCGTGCTCTAAAAAAACCAGGAGGGGTGCTTCTAAAGAGCCCGAGACAAAGTGGAGAGGAAGAAGCACGAATCTCACTCAATTATTGAGTAAAATAGAAAAGCATAGGAACCGCAGAGATTTGGTCCAGCAGACAAAAAGCAGCAGGAGGTTACAGCAACATACAGAATATCAAAAAGGCAAAGGAAGGAGATCAAAGCCTGGAAACATTCAGAGGATGCCCCTGAAACGGGCAGAACGCGTGCACATCTGGGGTTTGTTACGACCACGTAGCGTTCGTGTGGCTGCAGTCGGCCATCTTTGTTTATACGTGCTCAAAGCTCACCTGAGTGAACGTCCAGGTGAGCTTCATGTGCTTAGTAGTGCCGTAGCTGCACTCCAGAAGCCTGGGTTTGCTGTTCACGTCAACCAGACACTTGTTGTCGTCATCGTCGATCGTCGGACTCAGCACTCCCAGGTGAAGCTGCTGGGAGCTGGTGTAGTACACGTTCTGCTGGGAAACAGAGGCGTGCAGTGATGAGACAAAACACCTGTAGGAGCTTCAGAGTAACAGTCATGGCAATACTAGACTACAGTGTAGTAAAACGTTTGACAAATCAAGACAGACCAGCTGAACAGTATAAACATCGTCTGTATCTTTAAGGTGTATTGAAAGTGCAGCGCACTGGAGCCCAACATCATTAGTTATTTAGGCTTTTTCTTTTTTTTGGCCTTTAGAAGTCTCATAAGAATGTATGTATCATATATGATAGGCAGGTGTTAAGGGGTTAAGCTCATATTCTTTCTAATGACCACCAGGGGGCGACACCTGTGTTTGCATAAAGACTTCTGCTTTTACAGAATTCTGTGGAAAAAACTGAAAACGTGACCTCAACACATTTTTGTTATTTGGGCTGAGTACATTCATTAGGAATAGAATTTAAGTTGGAATAAGTTTTTAAATAATTAATAATCAAGTCAAGTGGCTTTATTGTCATTCCCATCATGTGCAGTGGTACAGTACACAGTGCAGTGAGACAACGTTCCTCC